AAAACTATAGGTTATAGAAATTTTTTAATGATAATTATCCAATAACAAAACATGATAATTCATTTTAAATTTGAGAATTGTAAGAGTTACAAATATATATAATATCTAGCACATTATCCCATATTTAAATATAAATTTGTACATTTAGAATTAATATGGTAAGATACTAATGAATTTGGTCATATGTTCTATATCAATTATAATATATAATTATTGAAATATAAATCTCATTTTATAAATTAATTTTGTAATGTTAATTAAATTTAAAATTTATTTTGTAAAATGATATTAATATTTATTTTTGTTGATTTCTGAGTATGACATAAAAGACCAAAATGTAGTAAACATAAAACACTAAGCCAAGTTCTTTTACGTTGAACTTTGACTTACACAAACAATACTTTTATATCAAATTAAAGCACCAACAAACTTGAAAAGAAGTATTTTTACATCGGATAACATTGACCGACGTGGGTCTCTATCAATATATTTCCAATTTCATTACTCGACACTCAATTTTCCAATGTATCGAATTTTTATTAAATGTAATTATTATAATATAGGAAATCATAAATGAAAATTGTTACTTGGCCAATGTTGTATAACTAAAATGTTTAACAAAATGATTCCTTTGATAATCTCCAATGCATCTGATACAAAAAAATATGCAAGAAGAATAATAAAAGAGTCTATCCAAAAAAAACCTTATAACTTAATATAGATTAAAGAGTTTCATCCTTAACTTGTGTAATATAGTTAGAAATTAAGCTGTGATTTTTTTTATCTGCTAAGCTACGTGATTATCCTTAATTCTTGTTATGTTTATTACTTTTTATTGGATCATGAGTATGATACTTTATATAAGTGACAAGATTTAAGTAGATATGTTTTTGAAAGTTGAAAAGTGAGAAAGATCCATTTGCTTGAAGTCAATAAAAGAGTTTAGATCTTTATGAATAGAGTAATTGGTATAAATATCAGAGTTGTTTTTTCTTGTGAAATATAAGGTGTATTTGTAAGATCAACATGGACCTTGGACTTATGTTGTGATATCATATATCCTTTAAATAATACTTTCCTCAAGTAAATAATAACAGAGTATATACCTTATTGTAAATAACAATCATAATATCAAATTATCAAAATTAATTATGATAAGTGGATTTTGCCCAAATAGGTATATTTTGAGCTTAATAGGTCTCGTTGGGCCATAAGTTTTAGTTATCAATTGGGTTACGTAGAAACATAAGTCCTTCAGGTCTTGGGAGTTTGATTTAGCGTGTGCGGGATCATGCCCGATCTCTTGGTAAATTTTTCAAGTGAATTGGCCGTTTGACCAGGCTGTTCGAGCAAGTCGTTTGTTAAGCATGATCTTCCAGCTTGTTAGAATTTTAATGTTGTTGACTTTAGCCTGACTTTATGCTAGGTTATTAGCTTGGACAAACTCTATTAGGTGTTGTTAACTTTAGGCAAGTTTTTCTTAGTGTTGTCGATTTTAGACAAACTTTGCTTAGCTATTGTTGACTTTAGGTGAGCTTTGCTTTTATGCTTTTACTTTAGGTGGGCTTCGCTTTGTTGAGGCTGACTTTAGACGAGCTTTGCTTAGATGTTACCGACTTATGAACGCTTTGCTTTTATGTTGTCGACTTTAGGCGGACTTTGCTTTGGTGTGTCAAAATTTAAGTGAGCTTCGATTTGATACTGTTGACTTAGACAAGTTTTGTTGGATGTTGTCGTTTGGGCAGACTTGGTTCTCATTTTTGCTGAGATGTTGATGACTTTAACTTGCTTCTATATTGGATTTATTTATCATTACTTCACTTTAAGCATCTCTTTGAGTATTCTTTAGGTCATTCTTTAAGGTTTTTGCATGTTTATCCTCACTTTTCTTGTCTTCTCTTATAGAAAGAAGTGAAGGTGGCCAAGGGATGGCCAAGACGGATGACCTGCCGACATGTGTATGAGGTTGGCCAAAGATGGACGAGCGAGACCTAGAGATGATCTGACTGAAAGGGATCGAGGAGAAATTCCAAGAATCTTCAAGCAAAGGTAGCTAGGGTGAAGATTGAGAAGGACGACTTTGTCGATTTGTGTACAAAGGTTTGTTAAAAGCTGACAAGCAAAAACATGGAGCTGGAAAAAAGCTTTAACCATGTTCTTCAGCTGACTTCTGATTTCCAACAAGCAAAAAATGAAGGCAGCCTTGAGAGCAAAGAGACCGACGAGTTTTGAGGCTCTTCAAGAGGACTCCCCCAAACTTGAACTTTTCCATGTCCTCACGAAAAGCAAAAGGTAAACTTAACCTAGACAAAAATAGGTCAACTACAATGGTCTAGTGACTCAAGCAAACAACTTCAATCAAAGCAAAGAAATCAATCATGTTTACTCATCATGGAAAGACCAATCATGAGATAATAAAACTTTAACAAATCAAGCTTCAACTATGGTGCTCACAGGACAAAGATTACAAGACAAATGCAAAGGCTTTATGAGGATCAACAGCAAAATGTTTTCCTTAAATGCATGGAACATTTCCTCACCAATGGCATCCGACGAGCTCGCAAGCAGCAAGGCAAAGGACAAGGTGTGTATCCTTACAACCTTTTAGGGTAACGCTTAGTCTTGTGGATTTGTAGCAGCTCGTAGAGTGTAACGACGTCATCAATACCTAGCCTTGTCTTTGTATTATTTAACGAGGTTGTTTCCAACTTCTCGAAATTCTTCACTCTGAACCTAAGAAACAAAATCTAGATGGCAGATCGGTCTATGCTTCTTGATCATGCTAGCTTCATTAAAATGGATGACATTGGATATTTTCAGTACAACATTCCTGGTAAAGCTCTCATCGATCACTAGTCGAGGAGTATGGGTAATTGGTTTTTAAGCCTGCCATAGGCGTTTGGAGCCTGGTGTGAAAACCACATTGTGATAGGTTTATTCCAGTCCACAAGCATTTCAGGAGGAATAGCTCAATGTTCAGCACTGGACATAGTTAGTCACAAGAGAGGAAAAAAATGTATTATCTTTAATAAACGCACTAGTGTTGTTGGTACCATTTTGACAAGTAATCAGATTTATTTAAGCGTTAATCAAACATATTCAAAAATATGTTAATAGGATGAATGCTTGTTTTTACGTATATAAGAAATCCTTTGTCTTCATTCTGATAAGAAATTCTTGAAAAGCAATCTCACCACAATGTGTCCCAAATTATAATTAAAATGCTAATATGTTGTTATATGATAAATCACAGGGACACCAACATGATCACAATGTCTCAAGATCATACAAGATATGGAAGCGGGATAAATTTTTTCTTGGACGCCAAATGTTGGGTTGAAAATAAAATAAATTCACCTATAAAGGACACCTCTTTATAAATAACAATTATAACATCAAACTATCCACATTAGTTATTATTATAAATAGATTTTACTTATATTTTAAGTTTAAAATATTATTTAGTTATTTATTGAATGGGATAAGAACAATTATCATTGTCATCATCACAATAATCTATTATATATTTTCTCCTCCTAAAATTTTTATCACGATTCACAAAATCCTAGACAAAAGTCATTATCAACCACTATTATTATATGAAAAACAAACCAATGAGACATTTATTGTTGCGGTTGAAATATTAGAAAAATCACAATGGATTCAATTTAAATAATAAAATGAAGATATGTTGAACTCAATGGTATATGTTTATCAAAGATATGTTCTTGTGTGATCCGAAAGAAACTTTCGGCACAATAAATATAGCGAAGGAGTGCAAAGAGACCTTGCTTAAGATGAAGAACCACACAAAATAAGCTTTTTCAACATGCTTGAAGCAAAGAAGAAACAATGTGCAAAATGTAAATCAATTTTTACATCAGACATCTTAGATTTAGGATTTAGGTCAAATGTATTTTGTTTTACATCTTACATAAATATAGAATTGTACAGTTTCACAAAACAAGATTTATTTTTACATAAAATTTCCAATATCTAACGCCAACTCACTAACATGATTGACACATTTTCCAGCATCTAAGTATAGGAACTGGATAAATAACTCAATTTTGTATACTCCTACTTTGTATTTTTATTTTTTTATAGAAACTTGTTTGGGAAGTTCTTGTGTTTGTTTGGGAAGGACAAACCTTAGAAGACAACAAGGGAAAACCTTTTACATCACCCAATACAAACAAATGCTTAACTCATATTCATTGTCTATCAGTAACGCCTTATCTAACACATTCTAGATATTACAAATTTATAAGCCTGTTTCACTTTTTTAGGAAAGAAATAATAGTGGTGTAATCTTTAAATATATTTTTTTTATTCCATAAACTTACATTATTATTTGAATATTTAAATATTTATTTTGTTTATTTATAATAACGTTTATGTAATATAAACATGTATAAATAAACAAACCTTCTTATGTAATAATAATGGTGTTATTCCTTTCATATATCAAATAATTAACTAATAATATTTGTAATCAGTATAAATTTATTAAATTTAATAACGAAAACGTATATTTTAATCAAAATATTAAATGGGCTTTTGTTAAGGAATAAGATCGATCGGTGCCACGTGAAGATCAAATTCACATGCAATGTTTAATCATTTATTCTTTTTCTATTAATTTCTTTGGAAGATTAGGTTACCAATCACTAAAACATCAAGAATCTTACGAACAATAACAAGAAAATAAAAGAAAAATGCAAAAATTCTTAAGATGCTTTTATTACATTAGGTTGGTGAGTCTTGAAATACATGCATATAGATCGAGTGATACCTTTCATTGTGACTCTCATTTAATTTACTTCTAGTTTTGTCACTTTCCTCCATAAAACTCGCCAATAAATATTATCTTTATCTAACGTTTCAATTATTATATGTGCAAAAATATACATAACCTTGTGTTGATGTGATGCAAAAACCTTATCAAACAAAATCCTCACATGATAAAGTTTCTTATATATATATATAGGAAACTCCGTCGAAACTCTTAACCTAAAAAACATGAAAACACGTTGAAAAGAAGAAGAAGAAGCATCTGAGGGAAAAGAAACGATGATCATGATGATGAACTCAACAACACTGAAGGAAGAAGCAAGAGAGAAAGAAGAAAACGAAGAAGAAGAAAAAACAATGGCAATATGGGATTGTGGTAGTCCATTATATGATTCTTATGAATTGGTGTCTCTTGATCATATCATTGATAGGCATCTAATGGCATTCCCTTCTTCCAATGGATCATCAAAGCACATCATCACCAGATTCACTCATCATCATCATCATCATGATAGGGTGCCACAAAAATCCAAAGGGTCTGTCATAATCACAGGCATGAACAAAATTTCAGTGAAGATGTTGAAGAAGAAGAGGAAGAACAATGAAGAGATCAAGGGAAATAATAAAACGAGAAGAGGCTTTGCTGGATTTGTAGTAGGTTTGCTTTATTCCTGGAAGAAATAAGAACATTGTGTGATTTAATTTCGACATTAATTAAGGATGTAAAGTTTTTCTTACATTCAATGAGTTTCATTGCATCTGCAAGAACTGCTGTGGTGGTTTTCATATCTAAATTTTTCTGCTTTAATTTTCTTGCTATTGTAATTTTCTTCAATAATTTTATGATTCATTTTTACTATGCGGGTGCATGTTATTTTACTTTCTTTTGAGAAATTTAATATTGTTATTTTTTTACTTCTCAACACATATTTTACTCCTTTTCCTCTTTTCTTTATATAAAAGATAACTTCAAATCAATAGGTTTTGGAGAAGAGAATAGAAGACAAATACTTTATTTATCAACTAAACATGTTATATTATATTTTTAAAAAGAAAAAGATTATCTTCGCCTCTTTTTTCTTTTCAAAATCTATCAGTTTTTAAAAATAGAAAGTAAATAAATACTAGTTTACAAGTTAGGTGGATTGTATGTAAAAAAGATGCAGCAAAAGTTGTAGTAAATAATATACTTATCTAAATTTATATCCGTTATGATGTGTGATTTATTGTTTGTAAAAAGAAATTCAAAAACAGACTTTTACTGAATTTAGAAAATGGAGTGCTCTGAATTTTGTTTTAAGAAATATCATATTAAATTTATTCATAATAAAATAATAAGAATCATCATTTACCTAAAATCACAGAAAATAAAAGAAACAATAAATTAGAGCTTAATAATGCCGTTGAGATAGTGTACATATTTTTTTAGGCTTTGATCAAAACTGTTCGCTGTAATCTGAAGTTGATCTTCGGCTAGCAAATATTAGATAGAGGCTTTTACGTTCTGCACCCCCACAATTTCTTCACACACTCTCCAACTTCTCAACTTTTTCAGGACAATATTTCTAAAATGAAAATTTGAAAATAATATTTTTGGAATAAAATTTTCAGAATGTGATTTTTGAAACGATGAAATGTATTTCAGAATAAATTTTACGAAAAGGAATTTTTGAAAAACAAAAATCAGAACTCATAGAGTGCCTTACAGATTTATTTTTCCAGAATATTATAAATAAAATATATTCTAAAAAGAATTTTCAGAATAAATGAAATACATTTTGAATTTTTTTTTTCAGAACGAGTTTTTTTTCTCTATATTTTCTTATTCTTCTGTTCAGCATTCTTCTTCTATGCGGTGATGGTGAAAGTGGTGACGATGGCGGTGTGATGTCATGTAACAATGAGAGAGATATTCGAATCTTTTCTTGATATTGTGGGATACAGATAGTAAATATGGGTGTGCAAGAAGCAATAGACTTGTACGGAACACGAAAGTTGATTTGGGCCTTAAAAGTACAAAAGTTGATAAATTTCTGTTGTCATAACCCAACCCAAACCACAGGACACTATACATTCTGTTCCTATAATACCACCTCAAGACTAGGAATGTTCAACAAAATAAATAAATAAATAAATAAATTTTACACTAATTATTTCTAAAATTTCGTGAAATTACTCTATTTTCATATATAAAATTTGTAATTATTTAAAAAACCTTACACATTGTTTCTTATAAAAACATGATTATAAATATTTAAAAGAACACAGATTATATAATGTAACTTTTACATATAAACATCATTTAAATACTACAATTAATTATGACCTTATTTTGACGTAAGCTAAACTTTGTTACTCAATTTCATCTTCTTCTCAGGCCATTCAAAATACGAAATAAGATAAAATCTTAATTTCTATTTATTATATATACATACACCACATAAAATATCTTAAAAAAAGTGTTGATGTGTAGGTCATATATTAAACAAGTGTTGCATTATTAAAATTACTATAATAAAAAAAATGTTTAATTAATAATTAAAAACAATATTCCAAGTTTTTAAGTTAAAAAATTATTATGGTAGTAATTTCAAACCATCATGAGACTAATATTTCATTTTCTTTTATAAAATTATAGTTTTTATTGTAATAATAATAATATTTGTAAATAATAGTTTTTATATTATAGTCGTTACTCTGAATTGGATGAAAAATAATGAATCTTATTTTATTGTAAATATTAAAATACTCATTTGAATCTTTAAATAATAAGTACTTGTTTGTTTTATTAAGATAGATTTTGATATATGTGAATTTTAAAATCATTATATAAGATGAGTTATTCTTAAATATATACTTTAAGTAAACTATCGTGTGTAATGTCCAACGAAAACCTAACTAATAATATTTGCATTATTTAATAATTTGTTTAATAATTTAAACTAAATATTATAAAAATCACATTATTGACATTTTGACTTATTTATATTGTCCCCTATAATTCATATCCATTTTTCCCATAAATAACAAAATAATAATAATAATGCTTGAAGATCCGGCAAATTTGACAAAAAAAAAATCACTTTAAGGATTTGGTTTTAGATTCTTTCGAGTTTGTTGACTTTTCTACCTAAAATATAATAATTGATTTAAAATAACATCAATAGAATTTTAACTTGGTCCAGGGTTTGGTCCAAGAAAAGGAAATATAAAAATTTAAAAGAAAATAAATCAAAATTATAGATAACATAAAATATTGTTTTCATACTTTAAAAGTATATTTATTAACTCATTTTAATCGAGTTGCAGTTAATTTAACTATTTAATCAGCTGGCGAACTAGCTGCTTTGTTGAATTTAAATTATTTTAAATCAATACGCTTTAATAAAAAACAACAACAGTTTTAATATTTAACGTTTATATATCTTTAAATATGTGACAATTTTTTGTTTTCATTTCACAATGTCACAAGTTTCTAACTAAGAGGAGATAAAAGTATCCACAAATAACACTTTAAACAGAATAATTAATTACAGATTTTTCTCTTGAAATGCTAATAATGACGCTCTTATATCTATCAACAAGCTCTTTTAATAATTCCTTTTACCGTACTATTTTACTTTTACATTTATTAAAAATTACATGAAAAATATTATTGTGTCTGTCACAGTTTTCTCTTATTTAAATGAAGAAAAATAGAGTTTATTGAAAAAGTCAAAACAAAAGGATATTTCAATGAATGAATAAATAAAGGATTTAAAGATATGAAACTTTGAGAGAAAGCAACCAGAGACACACACGAGTAGATCCACGGGGCAGAAAAGTCATTTTAAATTTAAATTTTATAATTGACTTAACAAATGTGTTGACCACTATTAATTGCCAACTGTCAATATATAGTGATATAATATTAAAACATGTTTCATTGAAGCACACATCTTAAATTCGCCATGAAGAAAAATATTTTAATTTTAGTTTTAGTTTTAATTTTAATATTCAGCAATTGAGTTGTTTTGGTGACGAAGTAATATATGAAATGATGGACATTAATGGTTGTATGTCATACACGTTATTTATAATAATCACCAGTCAATTAACCTCTCATTATAATTACAATAATTAACATAACATTCTTCAAGTTGACTTTGTCCACAATTTGCATTACAATAAAAACTTTAACACATAAACTAATGTCATTGTAAAACTGTAAAACATTTGTAGCGATATAATTAAATAAATCTTGAGCATTATGAAATTTAATTGGTGTTTCTATGATTTGTGAAATATCGGAACTATGTATAGTTTAATATATAAACATAATTTCACATGAGATAAAACAAAAAATAATGTAGATTTATATATAAGATATTTATTTATGTTGGAATAATACCAAAAATAAATATCTGACTTTTTTTAATAAGAGTGATTTTTTATGTTAACCATAAATATTAAATATAAAGAAGTCTCATTTATATTAGAACTACGAGTCATTAACATAAAATTTTTACGTTTAATCTTTTATGATCAAATGTAAAAAGATGTGAGAGGTCTAGGCTGTAAATGAACATTTTTATGTATGATTGATTACTAAAGTTTCAACATAAATGAGTTGGATAAAAATTCTTCTAAATAATCATATAATTTAATATGAACCCATCTAATATATTCTCAAATCATTAAATACCACAATATATAATTCAATAATTTTCAATCACAAAATCTAGTTTTTAATAAAAAAAGTCTACTCTCAAACTAATAAAAAGTATCACAAATATGACTTTTAGCATAAATATTATACAAAAATGAAATATATAAATTCGAAAGACTCAAATAAAAGGACAAAGTCAAATGCATGTCGGTAACAGATAGAGAAAAGGAAAGGTGATATTGATTCAAAAAACAACACACCAATCAGAACAAATGAAATCAAACAACAATAAAGAAGGGTGACCCCACTCAACATCACCCTTTACTTCTTTCTAGGGTTTTGCAAGAAAAAATTTGAATATAAACAGTGTTCCGTTCAATTCAAAAACTAATAATGGTCCTCATTCATACTTTTTAACTAATATTTATGAGTATATCTTTAAAGTTTACAACCTTAATAAAAAGAAAAATAATATATATATATATATATATATATATATATATTATTGCATAATTTCAAATAAAAATTATAATTATTTTTTTATGTTCAATTTAAAATTTTAATTTTGCAGTTAGTTTATTTAATTAAATTTTATTAAATTTATTTGATATTTTAAACATGTTTTTTAATTAATATTAAAACATGTTAAATTGTATAAATAATTTAAATGTTATCACGAAACACATTTAAAATATGAAAAATGTTTCTTTGACAACGTTTATTTACCAACTTTTATACAACGTCAAGTGTCAGTTTTTGATGGGTGCATTTCAAATAAAGTTTAAAAAACTGAAATAATGACGAGGAGGGCAATTTGGGAAGGAAAGACGTTTCGTGGTTTTCTCAAAAATCAATTTTCAAACTCTTCGTTTTCTCTGTGTGTACATTTCTCCTTACTCTCTCTCACCATCTTTGATTGTTCTTTCTCTCCCTTTGTCCTTCTTTCTCACCGGCAACAAACTCCACCGTCAACTTCCATTGATTTTCTCTCTTCTTTGTCTCGCCCTTTCTTCTTATCCTATTGACAACTTTTGATTTTTCCCCACTCGCCCTCTCATCATTTGTCCTTCACTTCTCACCCCTTGTGACGTCGACGGTCACCTACACCGTTTCTTGACCAGTGCATTCGCATTTCCCTCTCTCGCGCTCTTGACCAAGGAGTAAAGGTG